ACAAATCTTGCAAGTTTGAGTTTCAGTCATACAATGATTGATCACCCATCCCTCTACCAGTGTACATTTTCCACCACCAATGCCCCCAGTATACCCCCCCCCATTCCACCCCTCCCTCTGCCTCTATGGCAATTTCCTTCTTACTCTCTTTCTAATAAATGCATGGTCTTGATGCAAGATGTCATGACTTAAGAGACAGGACCCCCATGGGAAAGGACAAGCTGAACTGGCCTGAGGAGACTTAGTCTGGGATTTATGGTAAAAAACCTTGCTTGCTCTCAGAGCCCAGAGAACTAAGGGTTGGGATCTTTGTCTCTTAGTGTGTTTATCCAAACAACTGCAAGTATTGATAAGTGAACTTAATTGTTTAATGTATACAACTAGACAAACAAAAGCAATGCAGATATCCCTGGGAGACAAAGTGTCTCCTTGAGTTAGTTAATCTCCCCAAGAAAATTACCTCTGCCAAATGTTTTGTGTTAATCTCAAGAGAATTGCCTCTCTTTTATTTCTGAAAGTGATCAATCACACCTATGTCCTATACCTCAAGCCCCCTCAGATGTTCTATAAGTATGCCAGCAGCTCTGTGTTAAACAGGTTATTTTCACCATCAGGCTGTGGTCCCATCTCAGTCTTTCTGCGGGGAGATCTGGGGGAGGCACTCTCGGCCACCAACATATTTTTTGAAGTCACAGGGAAGGGGTTGTTTTTGTTTGTTCTTTCTCTCTCTCTCTCTCTCTCTCTCTCTCTCTCTCTCTCTCTCTCTCTGTATGAGAGATGGAACCCAGGACCTCACACAAGCAGTCTGCACTCTAACGCTGAGCTACACTCCCTAGGTAGTTACATGCTGAATTCTGAGGGAAAACTAGGAGTTAAGGCACAAAGAGGAGAACTTGTTCAGACAAACAAAAGCATATATGAAAAGACAAGAAAGGAGAGCTGAGAGCACTATTTTATTTTGTTTATTTAGGTCACAATGATGCTCAGGAATTATTCCTGGCTCAGTGCTCAGGGATCATTCCCAGAAGTGCTCAGGGGTTCATGCAGTGCTAGGGATTGAACCCAGGTCTCTGGCATGCAATGGATGCACATCTCCCCACTCCCAAGCAGTGCTTGAGACATGGGCACTCAATCACTGGAGAACTGGTTTGAAAAGCAGATTCTTTCTGACCTTCATATCTGGGAGGAGGCTTAAGGCTACACCTCTCACTTTCTTAGGTTTTTTTTTGGGGGGGGGATCACACCTAGTGATACTCAGGGCTTCCTCCTGGCTCCGCAGTCACTCTTGGCAGTGCTCAGGGGCCATATGGGATGCTGGGGATTGAACCCAAGTAGCACTGTAGCACCGTAGCACTGTCTTCCCATTGTTCATCAATTTGCTTAAGCGGGCACCAGTAACATCTCCATTGTGAGACTTATTGTTACTGTTTTTGGCGTATTGAATACGCCACGGGGAGCTTGCCAGGCTCTGCCGTGTGGCGGTAGCTTGTTGGCTCTCTGAGAGGGAAGGAGGAATCAAACCTGGATTGGCCGCGTATGGCAAATGCCCTACCCACTGTGCTTTCACTCCAACCCAAGTAGGCTGCAAGAAAGGCAAGCACCTTACCTACTGTACTACCTCTCCAGCCCTAAGCCTGTATTTCTAACAAGTTCTCAGAAGACGGTCATGCTGCCGGGCTATCCTGGGAGATAGGTTTACCCTTCAGGATGGCATCTCACAGCCACATGTAACTCCTTTTTTTTGGAGGGCGGGTACACCCAGTGATGCTCAGGGGTTAGGGTACTCCTAGTCCTGTACTCTGAAATTACTCCTGGCAGGGGTTGGGGGACGATATGAGACGCAGGGGATTGAATCCAGGTCACCTGCATGCAAGGCCAATGCCTACCTGCTGTACTATCTCTCCAGTCTTAATGTAAATGTAACTACTTTTAATTGTTATATTCATTTAACAAGTACAAGCAAGTTAAAAAGTAAATAAAATTAGGAACCAGGGACATGACTCAAAGGTCTGGAGTACATGCTTTGAATGTTGGAGCCCTGAATGATTGATCCTAGGCATCACATGGACCCCTGAGCACCACCAGGAGTCCCCCGTCCCCCCATCCCACCCCCACTCCCCCCCAGCCCTGGTATCTACACAGAACCTGGAGTGCTCCAAGCACTGCTGAATGTGACACCACTAAAACAAACAAAATATCAAATAAAATTAAAACACCTATCCCTCCCCCAAGCCCCTTCCAAAGAGGGCTTGCAGCCACCACACTAATGGACCTCCTGGGACATATAAAGAGCCAAGGTCCACAGCTCCTACAGTGTTTGGCCCCGTTTATGTCCGCAAGATACCTCTTCCATACTACACAGTACTAGCAGTCCAGTAGGAACACAGAAAAATTGATGAGAAAGTTGTTTGGAAGCCCACCTCACTCAGTGGGTGAAAAGAATAACACAAAAAGCTCAAAAAGCACCAACGGGATCAGTGAATCTTCCACAAGGTCCACGGTCCTCCCGTTGATGTTGAGAGCACATTTCTCCTATAAAGTACGGGAAAGATCTTACCATTTCAAATTAATTGCAGTTGGTACCCCTATTGGATTGAGATGATTGGCCAGAGGCAAGAGGTAGATTGAGTTAAACTTCTCCAGACTGCGGTAGAATGTTTCTGAGTTCAAGTTAACCCCTAATCTAATTCTTTTCATATCTTTTTCATTTTTATCACCTGATTTGGAGGGATAGCACAGTCGGTAGGGCGTTTGCCTTGCACGCGGCCGCCCCGGGTTCGATTTCTCCCTCCCTCTCGGAGAGCCCGGCAAGCTACCGAGAGCATCCTGCCCGCACGGCAGAGCCTGGAAAGCTCCCTGTGGCATATTTCATATGTCAAAAACAGTAACAACAAGTCTCACAATGGAGATGTTACTGGTGCCCGCTCAAGCAAATCGATGAACAATGGGAGGACAGTGCTACAGATTTGGAGGGAAGACATTTTGCACAACTACCCCCAGTCCCCACTTGGCGCTAGTGAATTCATCTCTCTCTCCTCTCTCTCTTTGGTTTTGGGGCCACATCTGGCTATACTTGGGGTTTACTCCTACGGGGGGCTGGGAGACCACATCTACACTCATCTCCTTACTAAGACTCACTTTTTCTCAGATTCTTTCCATGTAGCTCATCCACATTCACTGACAAAGAGGAAAGGTAATGCCTCTGATATACCCCTAAACAACCGATTGCCAGGGACATGTTTGGAAAACTAAGACAAGGTGAAGGACAGGCAAACTGGTGTTCCCTGTTAACTCACATGCCTGGATCCTATGAATATCTGCAAGGCAAAGGCTGGATGCCAGGACTTATTGATAGACTTAATTTCATTGTTTCTTCTCACAAAATCATTGTAGTCACATGCTAAATAAACCACTCCCCACATCACTTTATCCTCTGTGACCTCAGAACGTTAAAAATCCACACGAAATGCAAAACCCTACCAGAACCTCCTATGTGTTCATGGCCCCTCTATACACCCACTATACACCCACTATAATGCAGGTCACTAAATTCCTGTATCATTCATTAGTTTTTATGGATACAATAATGCATCAATTGAAATGCCCTCCTGTTCCAAAGGGCTCTGCTATAAGCGATTACAAAACGCCTACTTTGATTTGCTTCCCTCCACTGCCCGCTCAGGCCCCACACCTGGGAACAGTCAGAGTGGAGGGTGGGGGTCTGTTGGGGTTCAGACTGGTGGGGTTCAGCACTTGCTCGCTACTGCTCTGTGGTCTTGCCAAGTTCTTCAGCGTGTCTCCCTTTCCCACCATAACGTGGGGATGATAAACAACGTTCTGAGGTCACGATTTCACAGATGGCATGCTCAGACTGGCAATAAAAGTGTCAGCAAACGCTGCAGATTTTATTCCACTGACTGGTTGGCCAGGTTTAAGCCTGTCCCCTGGGGCAAGGACGCCGGTCCCCCCCACCTGCCCCCCCCCCCACACGTCCCGGCTGCTTACTCCTGAACCCACCCAGACGGAGAGAGCTGGAGGAAGGGAAGCTGCTCCTCCCAGGGACAGGAGAGCCCAAGGGCCCAAGGACTTTCTGGAAGAAAACCTCAAACCCGAACCTCCTTTAACTGCAGAGCTACACCGAAACGCCTACTCTGAAACTTATACACTGGGCCAGCGCAGCTGTCGGAACGTGCTTCTCTGTGATCGTAACTGCGAGGCTGCACCCAGGATAGTGCCGGAGGAAAGCGTGGTGGCCCGCCAAACGCCAGCTCACAGAAAGGCTAAGGCCGAGGGAGACACCTGACGCACAGACATTGCACACATTGCACACCGCAGCGTGCAGGGTGGGGGCTCTGCCTCCGGCCTGGGGAAAGGCTGGACGAACTGGGCGGGCCGAGGACGGCCGGCACCAATGGCCCGGCCCGATGCGGAAACCTCGCCTCCGATTGGCTTTCTGTACGTTCTGGCCCCGCCCCGCCCCTATTTGGACAAGCCCAAAAAGGCAACCTCGCCACTGATTGGCTTCTCTTACGTTCTGGCCCTGCCCCCGAGCCTATTGGACCAGCCCGGAGAGGCAACCTCGCCGTTGATTGGCTTCTCTGACGTTCCGGCCCCACCCCTATCTCGTCCCGCCTCCTCCCCGCCCCGCCGGGCCGACCGCATGTCAGCGCCGGGCTCTGGGCCACCGGCCTTTCAGTCGCGCCGCCCGCCCGGTGAGTGAGTTCTCCGGGCATGGCCCGGGTGTGGAGGAAGAGGGGGGTACTGGGATGGTCCCGCATCCCCTCGAGCTTTGCCCGCCCGGAGCTCCGCTGCTCCCGGCGGCCAGAACAGAGGGGTAGAGCAGCTCTCGGCGGCCCGGGGGGCGGGCGAGCGTGCCCGTCCCGGTGCCGGCGAGGCACAGGCCCCGGCGGCCCATGCGTCCGGCGCGGGCAGGCCCGGTTCGGCCCGCTCGCTCACGGCCGCTCTGCTTCTTCTTCCCCCCCCCCCCCATTCCCCCCACAGGGTGCAGCCGGGCCCGGGCAGCCCGCGGGCTCTCGGCGGCGACCAGCGGACGGCCAGGTGCGGAGGGCAGGTGAGTATCCGCTTCCCGGGGGTGGCGGCCCGAACGGTCGCGTCGCCCTTTCCAGTGCCCTCTCAAGACTGACTCGGTGCTTGCAGAGGCCAACACAGAAGGGCAGAGCAAAGGCTCCATAAAACCCAGGGAGGAGATTGGACCGACTCCTTCCTGGATCCTGTCTGGAGTCACAGCCCCCCCCGCCCCCCCCCCCCCAGGAAGTTCCCGCTCACAGGCAGCTTCCGGGGAAGGGAGGCTGGGGAGTGAGATAAAAGAGGAAAAGAGGGCGATTCATTTAAACTGCGCTCCAACCTCAGGATTTTTTTTTTTTAAATAAGGCTTCCTGGGGTTATTAGCCATCTCTATTCTATTTGTGGTGTTTTGTTTTGCATGCATAAAATTTTATGTACGGGCACCACACTCTCCTCCAGGGTCTGGTCTTTGTTCCCTCCTCACTCCCAGCTTGCTACTAAAGGTTATTTCTCTATCTCTGTTGCCTTGGGGCATTTGTATGCCTAGACATTGCCCAAATAAGTTTCTTTTTGTCCCATGTGACAGACATCAGTGTCTGCCCCCCAGCCTGACGCTTTCCAGTTCTGGCTCCTTAGCAAATTGCAGGTTTTTATTAAAGCTAAGTATTCCATTGTGTACCATAGTTTATTTGGTAAGGGTTGTTATTGTTTTTTATTTTATTTTGCTTTTTTTGGTCACACCTGGCGGTGCTCAGGGTGATGTCGGTGGGCCCCACGGGTGACTTATGTGAAGCAGGGAGGAGAAAGACGGTCACTTTCTCCCCAGCCGCCTCTGCCACCCGGGACCCAGGGTTACTGGGTTCTTGTCTCGCCTCGCGGTAGACAAGTTCAGGCGATGGTAACTGCAAATGAAGGAAACCCATAACTTGGAGGTTGTATATTAAATGTACTTGTCGATTACTTGCAAAGCATATAGCCACCTGCCTTTGTGTTGATATCTGTACTTGATAAAGGTGAGAGTCAGCTTGTGGGTAACTGCTTGCATTGCATGAAAGATCAGGCGGGCCCTCCTGCTACAACAGGCACTGCCATTGGTCTCATTTTTTTGCAGCCAGCCACACAGATGACCCCAAGGTGATCCTGCACAAGAAAAGCCATCACGGAGAACACCCCCATGAAGCCTCCTTACACCAAAGGTGTGTTAGATAACATTAGACATCTCAAAGTAGGAGATAGCGAAGCTATGTCAGGATTCATAATTGAGGGAGGCCCAGAGGGCGATGAGTGCATGAGGGACAGGGAATATGGTGGAATCACTCTTACATAGCGCATGTGTGCAGAGCATCATAAAATCTCTGCCCAGTCAAAATGATATCAAATGCCTTTATGGAACTATTCACTCCCCTTCAGTGTTTGTCTCTGAACTGAGAGAGGCTTGGATGCAGCAGGCAGTCCAGTGCCCTGCTTACCCATAAAGAGCTTTTGGGGGTGGGGCAGTGGCCCTACATGTCACCCTCTGCATCCAATTAGGGCACCTGGTTATGAAGATTGCCACAGCAGAGATAGTAGGTGATCATGCAGGGACAGCCAGGACACAGCAGAAACCCTAAAGCTAAGTGTGCAGGCTGGCTGTGTATCCAATATATGTTACCCCATGTCCTCAGCAGCAGTGCATTTTGGGGGGGGGGTTGGTTGGGTTGTTTTGGTTTTGGTGGGTTTTTTTGTTTGTTTTGGTTTTTTTTTTCTTTTTGGGTCACTCCTGGTGATGCACAGGAGCTGCTCCTGGCTCTGCACTCAGGAGTTGCTCATGGCAGTGCTCAGAGGACCATATGGGATGCTGGGAATCGAACTTGGATTGGCCGCGTTCAAGGCAAACGCCCTACCCACGGTGTTATCTCTCCAGCCCCAGCAGTGCATCTCTTGGCCTTTGTTCTACCAATACGAACTGACAAAGAATTGTATATATGACACAATTAGGAGTATGGTGGTTGTACTCCATAAAGAAGAGGCTGGCATTTTGACAGCGCCCACTTCTGTGGGTATCCAGCCTATACATTTTCATCTGTACCCTGCACACATTGGACAGTTCTATCAAAATGCCATCCAAGGATTGTTTTGTTTGGGGACTTAAATACATGTATGACTGTACCCCCATGTATTCAATGCCATGGGCAATTCTGTCCCAAATTTCTCAAGATAGTCCTGGTTTATTCAGGAAATGTCTCACACAGCAAGAAATGAAAACAGCATGCCTCATGAATAGGTGGGGTAGCCTCAATCCCATGAAGCTAATACACCGAGATACCATTAAAATTTATTCTCCTATGGAATTGGAATGCTGATCCTTTGATGTATTGCAGCACCAAGATTCTGTTGTGGATTTGGAGCTGGTATCACTAGCCCTCAACCCGACAGGACCACTCCCAGGTACCCAAACCATCTGTTAATGAAAACTGCCAGAAGAGGCAAGTGCTGCTAATTCATTTTTCAAAAGCAAGAGGTGAGGTGTGGGATCACCCACTAATAGTGATCCCAATCTCTGGGTAGTCTTCTGGATAAAACAAGTTTAGACAGGTTGAGAGGTTGGTGGCTGCGAACTTTCAACCAAGCAGGAAGGACATAACGGTATTCGCATAACAAAGTTCTTCAATTTGTATGAATGCATTGAAACTCAGAAGTTAGAATTTTGGTGTAAAGGGGGCATCCGTGAGTACATTACATCTAACCATCTACAACTACTTCCATTTTTCATTGACTAATAAAGATGTTTAATGTTCATCTTAAAGTCCGTGTGTTTTTATATGGTGCGGGAAGTGGGGTCACGGGGACCAAACCCAATTTCACGGTCCTCGAATGCATCACGGAACTAGTCTTAAACTAATACATCACGACCATCCTGTTATTTATCGATTGCCTCGAGCAGGCCCCAGTAAAGTCTCCTTCATCCTAGCCCTGAGAATTTTTTTTAAAGTGCCATATTCAAGACTCTCAGGTTTAGGAGAATGAGTTCTAGTTTAGTCTAGTTCTCCTAAACTAGTACATACATCCTTAAATACTGGCTTTTCAGTTAGGGTGGGTTTCCCATCTTACTCCTGGTTTTTTAGCTCCCAATGATGCTAAAAATACTGGGGTTTCAATTTATGGCCACCAATACTTCCCTTCCAATCTAGGCCACTTGAAGGTCCTTTAGTCCTTGAAGGAATCTGTCTAAATTGAATAAGCATAGGGCTGGAGTGACAGTGCAGCGGGTAGGGGGCGCTAGTCTTGCACGTGGCTGACCTGAGTTCAATCCCTGGCATCCCATATAGTCGCCAGAGCACCACTAGGAGTGCAGAAGCAGGAGTGACCCAGGAACATCGCTGTGTATTTTTGCCCCACTCCCCCTACCCCCAAGAAAAGCTTGACTCCCTATGCATGCTGGTAAAACATTTTGCAACTGCAAGATGCACGCGGTAGGAGGAGCGGCGATTTGGGGGGAGGGGTTCAAGCCCTGGTCAGCCACGTGCAAGGCTAGCACCTTACCTGCTGTGCAATTTTTCTGGTCCCGGGGCTGGAGATAGCACAGCGGGTGGGGTGTTTGCCTTGCACGCGGTCGACCCGGGTTCGATTCCCAGCATCCGGTATGGTCCCCAGAGTGCTGAGCCAGGAATAACCCTGGTATATCGCCAGGTGTGACCCAAAGAGCAAAAAAAAAAAAAAAAGCAGACCATTTCACACCAATGGTGTGGGTGTCAGTGCCTTTCTGGGCTTCTGGTCTGCAGCCCTGACAAAGCGAGGAAGCGCCTGGGAGAACCCGCCCTCCGGAGGCTGCAAGAATGTCCGGGGCGCGGGTCACCTGCGACTGAGGGCATAGAGGGCAAGGGTTGGGGGAAAAGCAGATACCCGCCAGCAAGAGCCGGATTCCTAGCCGGGAGCATGCAAGTCAACGAGGAAGTAGGCACTTACGCGACCAAAAAACCAGGCTACTGCCTGTACTCTCGCGAGAGTGCTGCCTAGTCCGCGAGAGCCCTGCGAACCGCCAATTACTGCTAAGCAGGGCGCCCTGGGCGTCGCCAATTGGTCAAATACGAGAAAGCCTGCAAACTATTGGTTCTCTTTAAGACTCAGTCCCGCCCTAAGACTCCGCTCACCCCCTCCTCCTCCGCTCTGTCGAGAGGTTGAGGCGGCGCCGGGCGCCGCTGGGTTTGTCCTGAGCATTGGGCTCTGGAGCGCCAATACTTCCCGTGGCACTTGACCACAGTTTCAATACCAGTCTTACGAAAACCGCAATTTTTACCTGTGCCTGGAAGAAGGCATGGGCCTTAGCACATTAAAATATTTATAGAGCAATCTAATCGCAATGCCTTTTTTTCTCTTTTTTTACCAGTTGTACCTGTGAGTTACAAACTCAGTGTGTCTTTATTTTTTTTTTTTAATTTTTATTTATTTATTTATTGCTTTTTGGGTCACACCCAGCTATGCACAGGGGTTACTCCTGGCTCATGCACTCTGGAATTACTCCTAGCTGTGCTCCAGAGACCATATCGGATGCTGGGAATAAAACCTGGGTGGGCCACGTGCAAGGCAAACGCCCTACCCTCTGTGCTATTGCTCCAACCCCTCAGTGTGTCTTTACACCTGGATTTAAGAACGTATGGCTTTTGTTTTAATATTACATTTTTTAAACCCAGGTATCACATATCACAAGCCTTTTCTCAAGGCTTAGGACACAGTTTGGCTAGTATCAAGTGTTTTGCTTTTGTTTTTTTTTTAACATAGGATGCAATAACGTTGTTTGGGGGTGTTCCAGGCTCACTCCTGGCCCTATGCTCAGGGATCACTCCTGGTAGTGCCTGCAGACCATATCAAACCCAGGATCAAATCTGAGGGTCTACCATGTGCAAAGCAAGTATTTTTATTTACCCCCATAAAGCTAAATCACTGTCTTCGTTTCATTTGATCAACAAAGCAGTCCCAATTAAGGTGCCATTGGGGCTGGAGAGATAGCTCAAAAGGACTGGAGCTCAGGTTTTGCATACTGAACATGTCTGGATCCTACTATGCAGTGCTCCCATGAGCACCACCAGGAGGGGTACAGAACAACAAATGAAGATTTAGCTCCTAAACCCCACAGATATGACCGGGAAGGGGGTGGATACTGTTATCATTCTCCCTTTTCAAGTTAGGAAACAGAGGCACAGGAAGATTTAGTGGCCTCACCATATTCTATTTGGTCTGTCCAGTTCTTCCCCGACACCCTTACTTGAATTCTCACCTTCATAATTCTTTTTTTTTCTCCACTTTTATAATTCTTGCCTGGATTCTTTCTGCAAACAGCCCCCAACTCTTTGCCATCTTCAGTGAAGCCATGGATTTATCTTTAATGCAAATCTGACTATGGATTGCCCATCCTTATCAGGTCCCTCAAATGTCAAATCTTTCTGCGGAAAGTTATTGCTCTTAGTTTGTGGCAGAGACCACTTTTGACTGAAATATTACACACATACAAATGCACACAAACATGCAGCCCGCTGAAATTTCACAAATGTAGCATACTAGTAACTAGCTCAAGAAACAGAATGAGATCATTTCCGTCCAGCCACCTCTCCCTTCCACTCAGGGCTTTCTATCCTTAGAATCCTAAGTACTTAACGGTATCCTATATATTCTAGTATCCTGTATGTATCCATATACTCTACACTTGGTACAATTACAGCACATACAATTTTTTGTTTTAATTTTGCTTTTGGGTCATACTCAATGGTGCTGAAGACTTAATTCCTGGCTCTGTACTCAGGGATCCCTCCTGGTGGGCTCAAGGGACCATTAGGGATAGTGGGGATCAAACCTGGGTCAGCTCATGCAGTTCAAGTGCCTACCCAATATACTATCATACTGGCCTCTGCACATACTCTTCTGTATTATAATTTCTTCAACTTATGATTATGTTTACTGGCTTGCATCTCTTCATTGTCTATACTTTGTTATTGCTTAAAATTTGTTCATGAGAATACTGTATTATATCCCATTGTGTCAATAACACCACAGTTGGGTCTGGAGAGATAGTAGAGTTGATAAATCTCTTGCCTTGGCAGGCAGCCTACCCTGGTTCAATCTCTTGGTACTGCACATAGTCCCTGATCAACATCAATAGTGATCCCTAAGAACAAAGCCAGGAGTAAGCTCTGACATCACAGGTGTGCCCCCAAAACAAGCAACAACAACTATATATACGCATATTTGTGTATATCAGTCACTGAAATGAGTGTGTGTGTGTGTGTGTGTGTGTGTGTGTGTGTGTTTTGCCAGGGATCAAATCACATGCAAGGCAAGTGCTCTACCACTGGGGCCGTAGAGACAGTACAGCAGGGAGAGCATTTCCTTGCATGCAGTGGACCTGGGTTCAGTCTTCAGTATCACATATGGTCCCCCTTACACCTCCAGGAGTAATTTCCTGAGCACAGACCCAGGAGTAACCCCCTGAGCAGTGGTGGGTATGGCCCAACCCCTTCCCCCACCAAAAAAGAAATTGGCATGTGTATCTTTTGATTAATGTCAAAAATGATAAGCACGTTTCTCTTGCATGTATATTTCACATGGAATTAGTGGAGCCTAGGTTGTGTTATGTTCAAAGTTACTGGATTTTTCTTTTGCAGGGAAGGGGCACACTTGGTGGTGCTCAGGGGCCATAAGCAGTTCCATGGATTCGAACCAGGGTTGGTCAGCTGCAGGCAAGGCAGCATCCCTGCCCCCCCACCCATGGTGGATATCACTGTCACTGTCCACTGTCACTGTCCTCCCGTTGTTCATCGATTTGCTTGAGCGGGCCCAGTAACGTCTCTATTGTGACAATTGTTACTGCGTTTGGTATATTGAATACGTCACGGATAGCTTGCCAGGCTTTGCTGTGCGGGCAAGATACTCTCGGTAGCTTGCGGGGCTCTCCGAGAGGGGCAGAGGAATCAGAATCGAACTCAAGTCGATTGCAAGGCAAACGCCTTACCTGCTGTGCTATCGCTCCAGCCTTGGAGCTAGGTGACAATTTAGCAAGGAAACATTAAAGATCTATGGGACGGTTCAAGAACTGTCACTGTCCTCCCGTTGTTCATTGATTTGCTCAAGCGGGCCCAGTAACGTCTCCATCATGAGACTTGTTACTGTGTTTGGCATATCCAATATGTCACAGGGAGCTTGCCAGGCTCTGCCGTGCAGGTGAGATACTCTTGGTAGCTTGCCGGGCTCTCCAAGAGGGGCGGAGGAATTGAACTTCAGTCGGCCATATTGGCCACTTAGCAAGGCAAACACCCTACCCGCTGTGCTACCGCTCCAGCTCATGGTGGATATGTAAAAGTTAATAGCAATTTATCCTCCTATTAATAACACAACAGTTTCAGTCTACTTTCTCATCCCCATTTGGTATTTACCCTCCTATTAATAACACAACAGTTTCATTCTACTTTCTCATCCGCATTTGGTATTTTCCAATTTGGCCATTTTAGTGGGTAATAATTGGGTGTCATGTGATTTTAATTAGCATCTCCCTGATAATTAATGGAGTCCCTTTTTCATGTGTTTATTGATCATATAAAAACAAGTTTCTGAGCTAAAGAGATAGTACAAGGGGTAAGACACTTGCCTTGCATCAGCCCACCTGGTTTGATCCCCAGCACCCCATTTGATCCCCAAGCTTGCCAGAAGTGAGCCCTGAGTGCAGAACCAAGAGTAATCCCTGAGCATAGTTGGGTGTGACCAAACAAACAAAATTGAACCTGGATGGGCAGTGTGTAAGGCAAACTGTACTATTACTCCTGCCCCAGTTTTACTGTTTTCCTGAGCTGAGTGCCCCTCCTTTCCCCTCCCCCCCAACTTTAGATTACAAAAATTCAAATATAACCATAAATCTACCAAATATTCTAGCTCAAGGGTCAGGAGGCCCAGATTCAATCCCTAGTTCCCCAGTACCAGTGGGAGTGACAATTGTCTTTCTTCCCCCTACCCTCCCCCCCAGTGCCACCAGGATGAGCTCCTGAGCTATATACCAGATGTGGCCCCAAAGTGAGACAAAACCGAAAAGAACCTTGCTTTGTTATGTTCCTTTACTTCCTTTTAGGACCTTAATGTTGCATTTTAGGGCTGGAGGGATAGCACAGCGATAGCACAGTGGGTAGGGCTGTTTGCCTTGCGGGCGACTGACCGGGGTTCGATTCCTCCCTCCCTCTCCGAGAGCCCAGCAAACTACCTAGAGTATCTCGCCCGCACTGCAGAGCCTGGCAAGCTCCCGATGGCATATTCGGTATGCCAAAAACAGTAACAACAATAGTCACAATGGAGACATTCCTGGGCCCCACTTGAGCAAATTGGTGAACAACTGGAGGACAGTGCTACAATATTGCATTTTAGAGTAAATTGCAAGCAGCAATATGTGTTCTCTAAATATTTAAGCCTGTTACCTAGATTTTAAGAAATTCTTTATCGGGGTCACATCTGTTGGACTAGGTATATTACCAGGCAATGCTGTGCTGGAGTCATAAGGTGCCAGGGATCAAACTCGAGTTTTTTCATGTGCTCACTCAGCATCTGCTCCACCACTTGAGCTATCACCCCCCCATCCTTCCCTAAGGTTTTTTTTTTTTAGAAATCAGACTAACAAAATGCACAGGACCAGAGAGATTGTATAGCAAGCAGATAGGGTACTTGCCTTGCGTGCGACTGACCTGGATTGGATCCCTGGCATCCTACGTGGAGTGGTCCCTGAGTACAAGGCCAGGAGTAAGCTCTGAATGCTACAGGGATGCCCCCAAAATAAAAAATAGAAAAATAATTTAAAAATAAAATACACAAATCTTCCAGTGCACATTGCTGAATTTCCTGTTTTGGTTTTGGCTGGGGATCAAACCCAAGTCTCTGTGGGCCAGGACTGTGCACTGCTGAGAGCCCCGTTCCAGCCCAGAGAAAGGGCCTATTTTTGGCTTTTTGGGTCATACACACCTGACATTGTTTAGGGATCACTCCCACCTCCCAGCAGAGCTCAAGAGATCCTGCAGTTGGACTGAACCTTGGGCCCTACCTACAAAATATGCACCCTTTGAGCTATCTCCTAGACCCAACATTTGCTGAGCTTTAAGCAAATGACTTTTGAGTTTCATGCCCACCTGCCAGTCCGTTTTCATTTCCCCTTTGCAGAGGGCAACCACTGATTTTCCCCTGCTCCATCTGTTTCAGAATTTAATAAGTGGGAACTGTAAAATGTGTACCACTTGGTGTAATGTAAGACTGTTCATTCAACATGCTGCAGTCTTCATTCATTTATGTTCCATGTGATACCGGGTCAAAGAGGGGTTTGGTTTTTGTTTTCGGGTCACACTCGGCAGTGCTCAGGGATCAAACTGGGGTCAGTTGCTCACGAGGCAAACACCCTACCAGTTGTAAGATCACCCTGCCCTGTAGAAGATCAGCTTTAGACAAGTACACCTGTCCCTTCCCCAGATCCTAACCTCCAAAGCCTATGGCTTACCCTCCCCTGCCCCAAAGCTTACCTTTACTTCCTTTAGGCTTGTAGACAGACTGGAGGGTGCCTCAGAGGACCATCCCATGAGAAGATTTTATTCATTCTGGAATCCATTGGTCTGCATCCCATCCTTTCTTCCCTGTTCCTTCCCATTTAAAACCCCTTCTTATGACCATGTAAAAAACGTTGTTGCTTTCAGGATACAAATTCACAATCTTCCAGTGTAGGAGAGCCTCTCCACTCATC